TTACCCTTCTCTTTGTTCCTTGTCCCTTTGAGTTCTGTAAACCATTCTGGATAGTCGTGGAGCTTGAAGCATGTGTCCTTTGTGTGCCTTGTGTTTTTGCAGTAAATGCATGCCTTGCTGTCCTTTTCCTTTTTTCAATTTGAAAATTTTGGATTGTCTTTCAGGTTGGTGTAAAATGCAATAAGCATCCCCTCAAATGAATTACTAATATGTATTTCCCTCTGTTTTTCAACACTAAATACCATGGAATAAGCTCTATTCACTCTAGGTAAGGGTTCTATGATTAATATTTGGTTTCTAACATGGTCGTATGAGTAATTAAGACCCATTAAAAATTGGATTAAGTTATCAGTATTGTCTATTTCACTGTGTTGTGTTGCAGCATGGCAGGTGCAAGCAGGGAAGGGCCTTAGGTGTGTTAACTCATCCCACAGCCTTTTGAGTTTTGTATAATAGGCTGTGACATAAAGGTTAGATTGCGTGATAGAACTTATTTTGCGTTTTAATTGATACAACAAAGGTCCGTTACTTTCACCATTTCTTTCTTTTATTTCATCCCAAAGGTTTTTTGTTGATGTGGTGAACAGGAAGGCGCTAACAAGCTCTTTGTTCATCGAGTTCAGAATCTAAGACACCACCATGTTGTCTGTTTTGTGCCATTGTTCATATTCTGCTGCATCGGGTTCGGGTTTTTTGCATCTATCGTCGACGAGGGCGAGCTTATCCTTAGCTCTCAATGCGATCACCATGGCTCGGCTCCATGACAAGTAGTTGGATCCATCAAGTGTGGTTGTGATGAGTTGCATTCCAGGCTGGTTTGAGCTTAGGAGTGTCAACACATCTGTATTAGGGTTTGCCATTAAACAGTAGGGTAATATTGTAATGTAGAAATCAGGAGAATCAGTGCTTATTACAAGCACTGCTCTGATACCATGTAAAGAAACTTAACCGAGTAGAGTAGAGAACATTTAATGCTCATTAATTTTTTCAGTTGTATATTTATTTGATGGAACCATGGGAATATAAATATATACATACAGGGAAAATGAAAGAGGATGAGGGCGATCTCTGAAAACGTCAGAGACTGCCAGCTTTCTCCAACCTTTAAAGAGAAAAAGAAAATCTGAACCCTTCATTTTAGGGTTTTGATATAAACAGTGGACTATCCAATTTTGTAAGCATTCCCATTTTCCTTTGATTCTTTTCACTTTCTAATTTGACCCTTTTAGCATTAATTACTAGTTGATCAATTTTATTGTTAATGCAACCATTGTATTTGCAAAAATATTATATTTTTTGGTATATCATTATGAATGGTATTAATCTTTTTTATGGGTATCCCTAATTCTCTCACCCCCACCCCCCCATATGATTTGGTGAAATAAACACAAAAAAATAAAGGTTATGGTATACCACTTTTGAATTGAAGTGGCTGGCCACCTTCTTACATTTATATTGTTGTAGTGCTATTAAATTCCAAGAAAAATATTAACAGAAAACAAAAAATTAAATAAATTACAACTGCATACTGCATTCTGTAAATAGACAAAAGAATATATATATATATATATTTGTTTGGTTAAAAAAAAAAAAAGAACAGCAAAATTGTGGTGTAAATAACTATCTTCCAAATCATATATAAAACAAAGGTGCTAAAAGTCCAAAACCCAACTCATCAACATCTGGATCTATCTGCCCTAATAATTGATTATTCAAATTACATTGAATTTTTAAAAAACCCAATTGATTTATTTCCAATTTATCAGCATATTCTGAATGGTTGGATTTGAAAATCCCCAACACAAATTCTACATTTACTAATTTGATTTCATCACAGAACCATTAATTGTTATTCCTATAATTTCCAACATTCAAAATCAACTAATCAGAAGGAGTGGAGATGAAAATACGAATATGATCCAAGAAAGTGAGATGAGAAGGCCGATCTTTACGCTTCACATACCCTCTCGCTTCTTTCTCGGAGTATATCCCGATCCCTTTCCCTCCATTTTTCCTCCACATTTCTCTATCGTAGCTTCCTTCCGCGTAGTACGCTTCTGCGCACGTTATCATTCCGCTCTCCTCTTCGCCGGCGGCCACCACCTCAATCGGAAGTCTCCGGTAATGTCCGCGGCTTGTTCCTTCCAACTCATCCACCCGGCTCAGACCACGATTCGACACCGCGTACAGCTCTCCGGTTATGCGTTGACCCGATCCAGGAATTTTCAGGAGGAATGGGACCTTGAACGGCCCGCAAACAAGGGGAAATTTCTCTACGGTTCGGTATGTGCCTTTGAAGACGGCGTCTCCGGTTTTCATCAGGTCTTCTAATAGATTATGGTTGGAGAAGCCTCTCTTGAGCGTTCCGTAGGTGAAGATGAGCGTGGTGGGGATGCTGTCTTCAATTCCCATAGCGATGTGGCTGAAGAGGAGAGCTATGTGCTGGATAAGAGAAAGAGGCAGTTGTTTGGTTGGGGAGAAAATACGAAAAGTTAGAGAGAGTCTGAAATCTGAATGGGATCGAGCAGGAGATTCGCTGATGAATGAGGACTTTTATAGGCGGTAATTTTGGGATGGACAGTAAATTCGTTCTCAAATTAACTTACCAAAATTTTTTATTAAAAAAAAAGGGATATACATATATAGATATATATATATTTATTTATTTAGATAATTAAGATTGAGAAAAAATAAGGAAAAACAAAAATATTAGAGTTAATGATAAGAAAATTATCAATAATATTAGACTGTTAAGAGTAAATAAAATATTAAGCATTAAAATTGAGTTTGGTTTATATTTCAATTAAATGAATTACGTAAAATTATACATGCGCATAAATCATAATACATTTCTTTACAAAAAATATATATATACAATCCGACACAAACTTATAACTTCTTATAACGGAAGAGAAGTACGAACCCGATAAACAGATAATCACGCGAAGAAATGATAATAGGTTCGAAGAAAACAGTGTGTGGTCGAGCCATCGATCAATGCAAACCCTAACCCTAGAAAAAGTCAAAGGTTGATGGGCCTGGTGAAGCCCATTAAGCCCATTTTTAATAAGGCTAAATGGGCTTTCTCTTTGAAAATTTTGGGCCTTCCTCTTGTTGTTTATAAAATGAAGAGGTGGCAAAAGGAAGACCTCACCTGGACATGCAAAAAGTTTTTCTTTTTCACATATATATATATATATATATGTATACGCACGCACATGTGTGTATATATATATATATACACACACACACATATATATACAAAGGTTTAACACGTGTCCTTATTAACCCACTTGTCAAAATATTCACCTCCCAAGTATTTATTGTTTGAAGAGAACATGTATCAGTGCAAACCTCCAAAACTTTCCCAACCTAAACCTACTGTGTACGACTGTATGTATACATACAAGCAATCATCATATTACCCCCACCATATATTATTATTATTATTGCTTTTCTAATTAATTAATATTCAACAGAGCTAATTTTACATTTATTTTTTAATATATCAAAAAGCAAATGGAGACTGAGGAAGAAGGGGTCAGTTCCTTGCAGTAAACGCATCTATATAATTATATATATATATATATGTGTGTGTGTGTGTGTAAATAGACACATGAGGTTTTGGTTTAGGTTCGGATGTTGGTTCGGTAGTAGACTTTTACGCCAAAGATAAGCACCTCCTCCAGCACACCTCTCCATACACCACCCACCACTACAAAGTTTCCTTTTCTTCCTTCTTTTCTCTCAAGCCAAACAAAAAAAAAAAAGAAAAATAATAAGCAATTAAAACAGGAATTCTTCTTCCTGCTTCTCTTTTTCTCCAAAGCTATACTTATCATGATGATGATGATCACTGATCAAGAACCCATTGTCAGAGAAACCAAGCCCAAAAGCAGAAGAATCATGGTATTTTACTTGCAAATTTTCAATCAAATACTTCAATTATTGTCTCTCTTTCTTCTTTTTTCTTGGGTAATGGGCAATCATGATTTGATTATCTGGGTGTTAATGAATTAGGGAGGAGGAGGTCCAGATGATGATGGTGATGATAATAAACTAGTAGCAGAAGAGGAGGAAGGAGAAGATGTGAAGTGGCCGCCATGGCTGCGGCCCCTTCTTCAAACAAGCTTCTTTGTTCAATGTAAACTTCATGCTGATGCCCACAAGAGCGAATGCAATATGTATTGTTTGGATTGTATGAATGGTGCTCTTTGCTCTCTTTGTCTTGCATTTCACAAGGATCATAGAGCTATTCAGGTATTTTTTTTTCTCTCTCTCTACGAATTAAATCAAAATCCAATTACACTAATTTTACTCCATTGTCAGAGTCTGAGTCAATTTGTTCCTATTGATGATTAACCCATATGATTTGTCATTGGTTTGTGAGCAACACGTGCCTTGTTATACTTGGGGAGACAAGCCGGAGATTATGGCTTGACTCAAGGGCATTAACCACATGATTCTCTGATCAGTTTTTTCAACTTATCTTTTCGCTTTAATATATACATATTGAGTTGAATTGTGGTTTTCCTCAAAATTTCTGGTTTAAATTGTGGGTTTTTTCAAAATTTTCTTGGTTTTAAATTGTGGGTTTTTGTTGAATTGATGGAATATATTGATGCAGATAAGGAGATCATCATACCATGATGTGATAAGGGTTTCAGAGATACAGAAATATATGGATATAGGAGGAGTCCAGACATATATTATCAACAGTGCAAGAATTGTGTTTCTGAATGAAAGGCCTCAGCCTAGGCCTGGTAAAGGTGTTACTAATACCTGTCAAGTCTGTGAGCGCAGCCTCCTTGATTCTTTCAGTTTTTGCTCTCTTGGTTGCAAGGTATAATATTCTCACTCAACATATATATCTCTTCCATTTCTTTCTCACACCAATTTACTTGTTTTTGTTTTTGTTCTTATAATCAAAGTGAGAATGGTTTTTTTTTTTTCTTGACAATGTGAAAATATGTTCTTTGCTTTTTGGTTTTTTTTTTTTTTTTTTCTGGGTTTTTTCTTTGTCTTGAATGTGAAAATGGGATAATGGGTTTATGATGAATTGGGTAATGAATGTAGTTCTTGATAAATGATTAGTTATCGGAATAAACTTAATTGAGGGGGAAAAAATTCCCAACCAAACAATTTTCTTTTTCTTCCAAGATGCCCAACAAGACTTATTTTCCCACCAAAGGGAGAATATGGAGAATATATGATGGTACAACAGGCTGTAGGTACTGATCAAAAGAGAGTATATATTCTATTTTTCACACCTATACAGACACCAAATCATGGATTCTTCATGGTCTAATATTTGTTTATCTTTCTTAACCAGATTGCAGGGACATCCAAGAACTTTATACAGAGGAAGAGGAGAAAGGATCAAATGGATAATTCTGATGCAGAATCACTCAATGGAGTTAACAATAAAAACAGCAAGACCAAAATCCGAAGCTTCTCGCCATCGACGCCACCACCAACCGCCATGAATTATAGGACCGCCAAGAGGAGGAAGGGGATCCCACACAGAGCTCCCATGGGAGGACTCATCATAGAGTACTAAGAAATGAATAGCTCCAGGTTCCTTATATACATATATGACCCTGTTATAATTACACTTTTTAAAAAAAAAGACACTATTATAATGCCCCTAATAATCAATGTTATAGCATATACAAGTTACATCACCTGAGCCTTGTGCCCAAGAGGCCGGTGTTGGATTCTAAGTAAGTCAGTCCTGTGTTTGTACATACAAGAGCTGAACAACAAAAATAAGGAGTCAAGAAAGGGGGGGGAAAGGAAAAACAAAGAAGATGAAATGGGTGTTTGATAGTAAGATTATGTGTAGTGTTTTATGAAGGGCATGATCTTAATATGTTATATTATATACATAAATATATATGGGTTGAATCTTGAATGTACATGTATATATATATATATATATATATATATTAGAAGAATTGTAATGTGGAAAGAGAATGAATGTTGAGTAACACGTTTTAAGTTAATGGCTTTTACTTTCTTGATTGACCCCTTTTTGCCTATTTTTCATTTTATGTAATGTTTTGGCTGCTTTTTTGTGGTTTTGGATTGAATTTTTATTCTATTTTTGGTTATTTTAGGTGGAAATGTCAAAATCAAGAAGAGAAAGTAAATGGGTTTTGTAGTAGATGCAAAAGCATTCAATGGTTTTGACAGAATTTCAAAGATGGGAAAGTTAAATTCAAATTTACTTTATTTGGTTGTAATTTGCAGATCATTTATGTTAATTTTCAAGTATAAATTTAAAAAAGCTTTAAATTCTTTCCTCTGCAATTTGGACTTTGTAGTAGGAGGATCTATTCAAGATCTTCTTCTTAGTTCCATCATTGCTGCTTACAAATTGAATCTCATTCAACTCTTGTCTATCATTTTAGGTTTGATCATATATAATTTTCTTCCTATGAAACGTACTACGTAAACTTATGCGTACCAAGCTTCTTTAAATAGATTCGTTGTGGTCATTCCGAGTAAAATTATTTACGGTAAGATATTCTTTTACATCTTAATATTACTTAGATTTGTCGAGATAAAATTTAAATTATTTATTATAATTTTATCAATAATATAAATGAATTAAATATTATTAATCTATTATTATTAATTATAATAAATAATTATAAAATGATGAGTTTTATATTTTTAATGAGATTTAAATTCGGAATTATTTAAACTATTACACTATTATTTAATCAAATATAATTATTAATTGAATGATTATTACAAGTCTAAATAGATAATTCCCCATTTTCCTATTACAAGTCTAAATATATATATATATATATATATTTTTTTTTTTATTTGGGTCTAAATTAGCATTTGGTTTTTAAAAATTTTTCTAAATAAGCATACGTTAGGTAACCGTTAAATCAACAACTTTTCAGATGCCATGTGGTGTTGACGTGGCATGATATGTAAATGATTATGACGTGGCATCCACGTAGATGCCATGTCAGACTCTCTTTCCTCAAAACCCTCTCTCTTTTCCTCTTCTGCTTGAACAAAAACCAGCTTCTCCTTAAACTGAAAAGAAAAAGTAAAATCATGAGCTGCTGTCTCTCATGCAGGACGGAATAATTTCATAAAGGAAAAAAATAAAGAGAGAGCGATGTAGAAACGGGATTTTAGAGAGTGACAGATTATAAAAGTCATATCAAGTGAAAATGAAAGAAGAGAGGAGGAAGAGATTTCTACGCTTCCAAAACCCGAAAGCCAAGAGCAGATGACAGAAGCTACCGAAGAAGAGGAAGATGATGATGATGACGACCTGTTACCAAAGCTAAAGAATAGAGAAAGAAGAAGCAGAGGGAATTGGGGTCGACATGACGATGATGACGATAAGAAGTTGACGAGCATAGCAAGTGGAGGATGGCGACTCGACGGATCAGCTGGAGGAGGAAGAGTAACAGAGAGGAAAGTGAAGAAGGAAGACTGTGAGCCGGAATAGAGAAACAAAGAAGGAAAAAGAAAAAGAACGGGAGAGAGAGAAGAAATGATGGATTTGAGAGGAGAGAACGAGTTTCATGTGTAGTTGAATAAGAGTCTGACGTGGATGCCATGTCATCCGAGCCGATGCCACGTTCTAAAACATTTTACACATCATGACATGTTAACACCACGTGGCAGCTGACATGGTGTTGACTTAATGGTTACTTAAAGGTCTATTAACATGGAGAATTTATTTTGAAAAAATTTAAAAATATAAATGCTAATTGAGAAAAAAAAAAAGATATAAGGGTTTAAACGTAAAAAAGTAAAATAGTATAAGGGAGTATTAACTATTAACCTACTTATTATATTAACATATTAATCGGCAAAAATACCTTACCAATTTTATACTAGAAGGTTTTTTCTATTTAAACTATTTATATTAATTTTTAGTCTATTTTAACCTTATAATTTTGATTCTTATTGAATCTACCAATAATTATTATTTAGAGACTATTAACTTTTATACACATAGTTGATGACATGTTAAAGAATAATATATAAGTGATGAGTTGTTACATGATGTGTCATTCATATCAAGCTAAAAAAATAATTGACAAAACTACCATATTAGTCTACACTAGTTTTTTTTTTTTTTTTTTAACTATATAGTTTTAAATTTTTACCTAATTTACTTTCAGTACTAATGATAGAGTCTTAACTTCTTAATACGTGTAGAGTCGTTAACTTCTAAACACATGACTGATAACATGACAAAATCATAGAATATAAGTGGTAACATATTATATAACGTGTCATCTACGTTATATTCAAAATTTAAAACTTCTATCTAGATTCCTAAGAATCATTTTCTTCCCATCTATCCTCTTAATGCCTTAATTTCCACAATATCACTTCCAACTTTAAAAGTCATCTTTTTTTCCTTTCCATCTTCCTTAAATCAAAAAGAGAAAAATGTGATCTCATCATTTCCTTCTTCTTTGTTAGTCAGGATTCCCGATAGAAATAAAGAAGTTTGTGGAATTTTTGCTTAGAGAAAGAAATAGTGAAAAGACAAACGACAAAATAGATTTTATGATTTATATGAGTTTATGACAAAATCATACACATGACAAAGAAATAAAACAATATAAATCAATACTAAATACCATATAAAATTATAAATATCATTTTGTTGTTTGTCTTTTCTTTACGTCTTTGTTCTACGAGTAAAAATTTTACGAACTTCTTAATTTATTTTAGAGACCACAATTAATGGAGAAAAAAGAGATAATGAGGATATTATGTTGTTCCCTCTTTGATTTGGAGGATAACGGTGGGAAAGAAGAATAAAGAGATGACTTTTAAAGTTAAGATTTTAGATTTTCATAAATTATGGCACGAAGGGGATAGATGGCAAGAAGTCAATTCTCATGGACCCAAATAGAATTGCTAAATTTCTAGTTTAATGTGGATGATATATCATGTGACGTGTCATTACTTATCTGTCATGATTTTGACACATCATAGAAATTTGTACAGAGATCTAGTTAGAAAAAAAAATCAACTAACATAGAAGCTAATAGTGTATTTCTATCAATTTTTTTTGTATTTTTTTCATTCTTCGGTTTTTTTTTTTAGTCGTAAAATTCGAATGTTCCTCTTTTTTTAAGAAATTATACATTCGAGTTGAATTGTGTTTTTATGCATGTGTTTGTGAATACCATGATGAATATATAAATATTTGTATTTATACTAAAAATATTCTCATTGAATATATCTCAAGAGATAACATGACCTTGAAAATAATTCAGGTTGCAATCCAAATGCACTTACAAAATTTCTTCAACTTTTTCTTTTTTTTTAAAAAAAAAATTATTATTATACACCAAAATTATGGGTTAATAACTTGAATAATAGCATTACCCCATGAAACACTCATATATAATTTATTTATATATAATATTTCATGAATATGTATCATCAAAATAAATGAACCTGTCCATTGGAATCATGATATTTCCTGAATTTTCTAAATGTTAATTTCTTGTGAGGATTGGAATTACAATTTAGTTCTATCCAAATGCATTCACTTGTACTTAGCCTATATTATGAATAAAATTTAAATTTTTTTTTGGTGAAATTCTCTAAATTTTCATTTAATTTAATTATAAATGTAATACTCATAATTAATTTTTAAATATTTAAAATTAATATATAAAATATAATTTTTAAATTTTTATTTAATATAAAAATTAAGAAAAATAGGTGGATAATGAAATTGAAAACAATTTTGGAAAAAATGTGTGAAAATTTGGATTATGGGGATATTTTTGAAAAAAAATTAAAAACTGGTGGTCAAAATGTAATTTAAAAAAAAAGTACCACATAGGACTGCCCAGTCAGCAGTCCCGACGAACCGGAGCGCGCCACGTGGCAAGAAAAAGTGTGCCACGTAGGACTGCCTAGTCAGTAGTTCCGACGAACCGGAGCGCGCCACGTGGCAAGACACGGTGCCACGCGGGAGGGTGTGCCCGCGATCGGAAGGTCTGGATTTGTTCCTGCGCATGTGGACAGTCCAGATCCTTTCCCTCCTCAGGCGCGATCGGACGATTGCGATTAAACACGATTAACAGTTTATATTCGTTCCCTTTTAAACGTGATCGTACAGTCTAGATCCAATCGCGATGAATGGGCCATATTCATTTTCTATTTAAACGCGATCGGACAATCTAGATCAAACGTAATGGACAGCCTAGATTAAAAGGAGACGGATATAAATACCTCACTTCACACCAAAATCTAACCCTAGCCGCCAGCCCCCCGCCGGAGAAGAAAAACCAGTCACCGGGAAGGGAGTCAACCATCGACTACCAAAAAAAGTAAAAAATTCTCTCAATCGCTCGAATTTAATTTTAAACACTTTTATGGCCAAATCGGAGCAAAATGACCAGCGGATGAGACGAAAACTGTGAAAAAAGCATGTCAACGCCGCTGCGGAAAAATCAAAAACCGCCTCCAATGAGGCCCTTTTCGATTCCTGTTTCGTGCAATTTTTTTACATTTGTATTCACCATTTTATTTTCTATAGGTTGACCAAAGAAAAACGTCTAATTGTGAAGGTGAGCCGGCAGAGCTGCTGCATCGAAAAACCCCACCGTCGGTAAATTTCTGTTTTTCGAGGCCCCTTAATATATTTTCTCGCATGAATGAGTACAAAACTGGCCAAAAATGGCCAACTCAAGGTAAACCACCGTAGCGGGCAGTGGTGCTGTCGCCGGAGCACAGCGATGCCGCCTTGCCGGAGTTTTGAAATTGCCGAAAAGGGGTTTAACACCGGTTTTGGATTTTTGGGGGTATTTATAGGTACTTGGAGCGTGTTTTAATCTCCGAAAGAAAATTCAGGGAACCTGTGGACCACCAGTAGGTACAACTAAAAGTTTAGCGTTCAGACACCGATTCAGGTAAGAATTCCTCACTCTATTCCTTATTATGAAATTGAAGTTTAATTATAAATAATACGATATTTTGCGTAATTTAA